CCAGAGCAGGAGCTTTGCTGCTACCTGCAGCAATCCCCTGGGGCATTTCCTTGCCTCCTCTCCCACTGCTGCTCCGCGGGGCAGAAAGGGCCTTACCTGCGTCTCCACAGTTAGCAGCACAACAGTGATCTGTCCAAAGCTGTTAAGATTCTAGGTAACCTCTTCAGCCGCTTTGAGCCCAACCCATCAGCAAATTGCTCACCCAATGTATTATGGACTTGTCTAGCTGTGTGCTGGACACTTTGTCCAGCAGGATACTGTGAAAGACAGTATCAAATGCATTGCTAAAATCCAAAAAACCCACATCTGTTGGCTTCCCTTGGTCAACTAGGTGGGTGACCTTACATAAAAGGATGTTAAGTTGGTTAAGCAGGACTTTCCCCTTTTGAACCCATGTTGTCTATGACCATTGGATGTGAGGGCGATCTGGCTGCGACATCTGTCACCCCATTGATTGCCAGGGTTGATTCGGCTGATCTGGCTGGCTAGGCGGGTGTCCCCTTCCTCCCTCACCGCTCCATGTGCGTCCCTCCCGAAGCTGCGCGCTCGGTCGAAGAGGACGACCTTCCCCGATAGAGACGTACCGTTCATCGGTCAAGGGTATACGGTAGCTGCGCTCCCCTGCTAGAACCTCCAAACAAGCTATTAATTTAGTTTTTATTCAATAGAGCTCTTACACAACTTCAGACATTTGCTTAAATGTTTTAGTTCATTAGAGCCATTAGGAAGCATTTATTATTGTATTGTATTAAGAAATGTAAGTAATTTCAGCGTGTCAGTGATGGTTCTCAGGACAGTCTTTTAAAGGTTGTCCATAGCTCAACAAAAATACCCATACTTTTCAGGTATTATTTTAGAAAAAAATCTTTAACATTCTAAGAAAATTATACTGGAATGAGATAGGTAAGGAAAAGTATGGCTTCTACTACATAAACTGCTTAATTTAAAAACGTAATTTATTACTTATCAAAGACACATGACATGCAGACTAGATTTTTGGCTGGACCACTATCTGGATTCTTTATTTTCCCTACCAAGTTATGCGCATACCTATTTATATCAGCACTATAAAATTCTTAAAAGCTGAATATGCAATTTCGCGCAGCAGAGTCGATTGACTCCAGCAGATCTCTCAGATGAGAGCGTCAGGTCAGCTCAATCACAGTTCTTGCACACAGGTTTTTTCTGTACTCCACAGCTTCTGCATGTGGAGGAGACAGAGCTTTGACAGCTGAGGCCAAACTTTCAGAAGTTATACAAATACACTTTCAGAAATATATGTTCATTTAAATGATAAACTATGTTCTCAACCGAGTTGATTTTCACTGGCACTGAAATAACTTTTTCAAGGACAATATTTGTTATAATGCATTTAAAGAAAAAATAGGCTAGGAGGATTTCTTAGAAGTGCAGCTTACGCATGTGGTTTAATGTTGCATAGTAGTAATACACATTTGCAAGTGCCAGATTTTCAATTTATAAATATTTATCATAAGGACATGATTTTATCTTTAATTAGCCCAACTGTTAAGGACACTTCTAATGTGAGAAATGTAATTCAGTATTTTGTACCAGATGTAGCCTCTACAGCTTGTCTTTTATCTCTGCTTGTAATGAGCAGATACTTAAACCAAAACCAGTATGTGATACGTGATTAGAAGATCTGGGCTCTGAATTTAAAATAATTTTCTGAAGGTGCATACTTCACTTTAAAGCACCTGTGCAATACCACCATACTTTAAGTATCTGATTACTTCCTACACATACCCATATGAATTTCTTTGTTCATGGAAAGACCTGAATTACTAGATTGTCCTTCCTTTCCTCTCTCTCTCTAACGAGGCGAGTTATGGCTCTGTGTTTAACACTTAGAAAAAGTGTAAACATTAAACCTGGGCTAATTCCAGGTCTGATCCTGGGTTATCAACAACTGAAATATGCCCAACACTGCATTGCCAAACACAGCAACTCCTAAAACGTGCATGTTATACTGAAATTTTCATAATTACGCAACAAACCTTTGGAGTGGTTGGAAACACTGCAACAGAGAGTGAGCAGAAGGAAGGAAAGGACTGGTGACAGGTCAGGGAAGAAGAATAGCAGCAGCCTGGTAGACTCATTTAAAAGGCAGACTTACTTTCTTTTTCCAGAATAGTTATACCAAATTTCTAAAGTAAGTGCCATAAGGGGTTAGCCGCCTTAAACTGCAAGTCATAATTAAAAAAACAAACAAACCCAACCAAATGCAAAGTAGATTGGGATTTCATTAGCAATATTCTGTGTTTTAATCCTCCGAGAATGTATGAAGTGAACTGGGGGAAAACCAGTTTCATGTCTAATGATATGCTGAACTTGATTATTCTTTGGCAAAGCAGAGAATCAGAAAATAAGTGGAGTCATTGCATATCTGTGCATCTATCCTACCATGATAAGTGCCTGTTTGCAATCCACTGATAACATTTTGTGGTCTTACAAAGACTGTTCTTCAACTGAATAATAAAATGAAAACAGAAGCATCCGTTACTAAGGAACCTCCGAGCCAACTTTTCATTCAGCTAATTTTTCTTAGCAGTCCAAGTTACACTGAGCTGCTCACTCTCTGTGTTCATTTAATTAGCAAAATGTTTGATTATTAGATTGCGAATATTACCTATTGACTCATTTACTGATTGTATAAAACAGCAAACAAAAGATCAGTGTTTTAACATATTCATAAAGGAATCAAACAAGACGTCATTTGGGGAGGATTTTTAGGGATAGGAACAAGGGACACAACGGGAAAGGATGGAGGGAAGGTAAAAATGGGATGTTGGCACAGAAAGGAGTTTGGGAATTTCTTCCATAGAATTGCCTTGTATTGCTGGCTTCCCATTCTCTCTTCCTTTCCACCATCATTTGAAGCCCACCCAACTTTTGGTTAAGCCTCTGGATTCACATTATGAGAACCAGTCTGAAATATCCCTCTAAGAAACACGATAACGTAACAATGATAAATGCTACAATGATAACATTTTGCATTTCTTTTACTTCTTGATTAATTATATTCTGTTGCAGATGGAGTGAGAGGGAGGCAAAAACTATAGTTTATTGGTGTAAAACAGTGATTAACAAAGTTCAAAGGAAAATGCAACAATAGTTTGTAAGATTCGATGGCAAGGGACACTTGGTTATTTACTGCAGAGAGGACAGCGTCAGATAAAACTGTCAGGGAGACCCTCCTGTTGAGTCATGAGGTTCAGAAAAGATCCCCTTGCTTTCTAAACTCCTTTCTCAGAGAGGAGTCTAGGTGCGGCTGGACCCAGTCTTAGTCCCAGACTTGGTCAACGGTTTATGTCTAAAGGATTATATATGTGCAACCAATCCTTTATATCACTTAGCTAACTTAGCTTGTTAGCCACTTACCGAGAATCTGTTGTGGTAAGGAATCTCGCAACGTCGAGGAGTAACCTTGAGAGGCGTCCCTGCTCAAGGGGAGATCCTGGCATGCAGCCCACTGCCGTGCAGGAGAGCTCTTGGGCAGCTCACTATTGATGGGGGTCAGATGATTGGCTCATAGTAATTTTTGCATACCTACCACTGTGCTTAGGTGGGCACATTCCACCACAGCCCTTGGCTATTGTATTGCTATCTGTCTCCCCGACATCCACTGGGTGCATCCTTCAAGACCAGACACATCTATCACGACCACCACAGGTGGTTATCACCTGAAAGAAGTCAGGAGAGGGGCAGGGAGCACACCACCACATATTCCCAGTACTGTGTCACCAAATGTTAGTAAACCATCTGGAAGATGGAAAACTCTAGAGCAGAACCACCTTGGTTACTTACTGGGGTACACCTGTATGGCAATGTCCTGCTAACAAGCTCTCCAATGAATGAGGGTGTGTTTTTAGCCAACAGTACGCAAGCAGTCATTTAGCTGCCCAACCTTCCAATAGCAATACTTCCTACTACATTAATACTAGCACAAAAATTAAAAAAGATATTACAAGGTATTCTCAGCATGGCTCCTTCCGGGAAAAAATCCAGTTGTAAATCTTGAATCTGCAAATATGTCAGTCCCCTGGAGCTCAGATAGCTGTGAATTTTGGCCCCATTGATTGCAAACAGTAGGAGATTCAGAGCTTGGAAATTAGGCTGGGTTTAGATGAGTCCAGGTTTAACAATTATATGGTAAATTAGGAACAGTATCATAAACCATTTGCATTGTTCAGTAATCCAGATAACGTGCTTTCTTATAGATAGAGAGAAAAATGACACTCCGATGCAGCGATGGCAGGCTGGCAGGGAATTTTGAGGGACTGGCACACCCCAGGAACACGCAGGCAATTAACAGGAAACAATGGGAACAGCACAAAGGAGTGGCTTCGTGCTGTGTCTGTCTCCCTGGCGCTCAAGCATCATCAAACACAGCTAAGGGATCTGGTATAATGTACTGGTTTAGCACGTGTTCCACCTGCCCTTCATCCCAGAATGGCCCCTATTAGTAATGGATATGCGAAGGATTGATTTTAGCAGAGCAAGACTGTTTTTAACACTGAATAAATCTGGAGTACATTACACTCTTGGTTTAAAATTGGCTCAGTGTGGGAGAAAACAACCTCCAAGGTAATTCTGAATTCTGTTTCCATGTTTTATGTATAACAAAAATTCTGTATTTTTCTCCTATGGCAGTACCTGATCCTCCACTCCTTAGGCTGGAAGAATATTGTCTTACATCTATCAGTACTTGCAAAACAGATTCCTTGCTATTTATTTTAAAGAGCTTTTCACTCCAAGTTTTAAATTTTGTTTGGTACTTTTTACAGGTGATTAGATCCAGTTGATAATTTTGACCTAAGGGGAACAATGAGGCTTATAAGCAGTATCTAAAATTCCTTGAAAACAGTACCATTTAAGTTAAACGTATTTTGTCTGGCAGCATAGCTATTAACAATTCAAAACAAAAATTCAAAAATAGGAAATTTTGAGAAAATACCTGCTTTATGAAACTTTTCCATTATCTCCTGACGAACTGATTTTTCCAAGTTGAAATAATCGTGGTCTTCATTAGGTTTTCTCAGAAACAGAGGGATGTGCTGAAATACTATTATATGCTTGCATTTGTGTTTTTCAGCGACAGCCAGTTGCTCATCTAGCCACAGATCCTGGGCTTGCTTTAACTCGGGGCATTTGGAAGAATCGAAGTATAACTGAGAATTCAGCACAAGAAAGAAAACACCTCCAACCCAAAAGCTGAAGTAGTCATCTCCCCAGTTCTTGCAATAATTATCTATTGTTTCTCTTGTTGGAGTATTGCCAATATCATGATTTCCACTGACAAATACCAATGGGATGTCCCGGTCAGTGTTCTTCAGAACATTCTTTAAATCTTGCTCTTGGTCCTTTCTCCATTGAGTTCCTATAGAAAAAAAAACCAAACACGTTTTAGTGTTTACACTATCTTTTCCTACCCACATTGTTAGCTTTTGTTTATGGAGATATGCATAGCAAGAAAATACTCTGTATGAGATGTCACCATGATAATATGCAGGGATCCAGAATACATCTTCACTTTAATACTGTTCGCCATTTTCAATAACTTGCCTCAAAGAAAGGCTCTGGGTAGGAACCAACAGACAGTATAGCAGAAGGTGATCTCAACGGTCAGTGTTTCACACCAAAAGCTTTAGCAGGACGATTCTTTTCATGTACAGACTGATGAGCTGGCAAAAAACCGCAGCAACCTTGGATGGTGTAACAGCTTTACACAAGGGTAAAAACCAGGTCAGCTTCTGGTTTATATTTTATGGCTGTGCACAGGAATTAAGGTTTGGGGTTTTTTTTCATTACAAGAACTACTTTTAACAGCAAAAATCTAATTAGTGTCTTGTGGTGACTTGTTTATATGATGAGTCTGTTTTAACAATGCACATGGCATTAATTTCAAAGTAAGGTAATGGTGTGCTTTACTAGTTTTTCCCGCATCTCTGTTTTTATATCAATATGCATACCCAGACAGTTACTTTTCTGGTTGTCAGAAATTTTTCCTTGTCTAGGAAGGTTTCTTTAATTGCTAGATTAATTTACAATCACTGAAAAAAAATTTAGAAAGGATTTTTTAAAAAAAAACAGTTGTTTTATTCTAATGATGACAGAGGGTTTTTTTAAGTTTTCTAAAAAGTAATCTTTAATCAGAGGCCATTGATATGTTTATTACTCATTAATTAAATTGAACATTTGTAAATCGTATTTTGTTCTGTGATACATTACATATATCTAAGGTGGGCCCATTTCACAAATAATAGCTGAACTTTTTAACAAAGAAGTTGTAACAGGATTTTTGCATGAACTCTGAAATCATCTTTATAACATACATTTGCATACAGGTCTATGCAAATCCATCATCACATATTTTTAAATTGTGTTCTACTTTTGTAACTACACATATATTACACATAGAAATGTATTAGAGGCACTCTTGTAGTGTAACTATGAGATAAAAGATTTTTTTTCTCCATGTTTCTTCAAAATACTTGTGATCAATATGCTGGCAAACACTGACCCTTAGTAACTATTAGTAGTGAAGATTTCAGTTCCTTTTCCATACCTTTTCCATTTCCATGTAACCTGTAGATACAGGGTTAAGTCTACAGCTTTAGAAAAATACTGGGGAAAAACCATATTCATATTATGTCTAAACTTTGTCTAAATTTTAAAGACAGGTGTGAGATTTGATACGTGATGCATAAAGTAAAAATCCACAACTCTCTTGTGTTAACTGCTGTACAGGGTAGATCTGCAGACAGCAGATCAGTTTGTGGGGTGTATTAATGTACCAGGACCGAGGTTGGTTTAGGCCGTCCTTCCAGTTATGGAAAATATCTGTATTAATCCTAGAAAAAACAAGGCACATTACTTGGAGGAGCTGGATATTAAAAAATAAAACAAAAAAATTATATAAACCTGGCACATTTTGTTGTCCATGGGGTAGGGAACCTGGCTGAGAAAGCAATTTTTCCTGCCACTCCTCACATTCCTATGCAAAGCGCTGGAAATTTCAAGCTATAAATATGATAATGTAGGGGGCAGGGGGGCGGGGAAAAGGCGAGGGGGAGGGCTCTTCTAAGATCTATGTAAACACATTACACCATGTTACTCTCCATGCTGTCACTTTGGGAAATTTAGCTAACTGTTTCAGAGTATAAAGACATTTATGCCTAAGTTACAGAAATAATTTGTAGAACTATGTATACCTCTTCCCAGTGGTGAAATTCAAGCTCTGGAGACTAACACTTGGATTAGATTTGTCGACAGCAGGGCACTGGTTCCCTCATTTAATGCAATATTATTTCTATAGCAACAGAGTGACATATTCAGTGTTTTATTGCAGAAAACAGATTGTTTGAAATGGAAAACAAGGTCTTTGCCCAAAAAGCCTAGGAAATCATACTAAGTAAAGACTATTTTAGGACAATTGTATTTTGGCTTGACCTTTTCTTGGTGGAAGGTCAAAACAACTTCAAAAGAAGAGAAACCCAGGGAGATAAAGGTGGGGAAAGGCAGGGTAATGCCTCTGTGCTCTTTGGGCGTAGCACTGGAGGCGCAGGGCTAGGAGGTACACACCATCCGTCAGTTGTACTACAGCAGCACACACTTTGTGCTACAGTGAGCTGCACCACTACGCAGTGCCCCCTGAAGGCACCTCCCTCTAACTTTACAGCTGAGGTAAGTAATAAAGAAGATAAAGAAAAGGAGAAAAAGAAGTGATAAAGAAAAGAAGGCAGTCACTAGAAAACTATAGTGGTCACTGCCGTAGCATAAAAACTGTCCCCAGGCACAGAGCTAGCTATAATAGTTAATTATTCCAATTATTATGAGGAACATTTTTATTTGATGACATGTATTTCTTTAGCTTAGACAGAGGTTTGTTGTAGGTGAACAGGAAAAGAATAGAATGCCAAGAAGCAATGTAAGAAAATAATTTGGGAAGTGTCAGGGTAGATGTAACTGAAATTAATTCCTGTTCTGTTTATCCTGGCATCACGTTTAGTGACATTTTTAAATCCCAGGCTACAATATTATGTCTTTATGTTAGGTTCTGTAAATACAGTCTTGCCCTGAGATAATGACTTCACAAAATAATAGCCCATAAAGGGCAGTTTGGCTTTCATGAAAAACATGAAAGAGAACTGTTGCTAGTGTAGTTGCCTACCATTTCCCACAGCTTCCCAGCCTGTCATTTTTGAAAGCTGAGTGATGTGAACAGGAGCATAAAGGTACAATGTCAACGTCTCTGTTGCAGTACATCTTTTTGTTGTACGTTATACCACTATATTTGCCTAAACTCTTCCAATACTCTTTCCTGCATTGCTTAAAGGAGTCAAGACAACCTGCCTTCACTCACTGAGAGCAGATTTCAAGAAAGTACGTACTTTTAAAGCATTTTTGCTGAAGGTGGCTTCAGTCAGCAGAACTAGAATTCACAGATTATTCTGCCAAAGAATAATGCTTTAGCTACTAATCCACAGTTACAGTTTACTTTGGTATTCCACAGAATAGATATTCCACAGAATAGCGCACCTCTATAGCAAAGTGTTGGGTTTGGTGTTTTTAATGCACTAGCTGTCAAAGCAAGTTGAAGCACTATTTACCCCCGAACCATATCTCTGCAATGCACATTGATCGCAATTTTTGCATCTGAGGCAACTCTTCACTTACAGTAACCTCCACCAACATTGTAATTTTTTCCATGAAAGTATTCCAAATGAAAAATTAGCAATCAATTAACAATAGCACCCACTTTTCTACTGATACAAATTAGGAGAGGGAAAGGGGAAGGCTATGATGGTATTATTATGTGGTACCTCCAGGTGTTCCTGTGATGGTGTTAGGAGAACTCCAAGTACTCCCCCTCCAGGCAGGAGAAGCCTGCCAGCCCCTGCAAGGGGACATGGCTGTGGTAGGAGCAGAGGGGGTATTTGCCTGGATCTCCATTTCATGTCATTTTCCAAGAGATGGAAGCTCTAGTGAGGTCATCTGACTTCTTTTAACAATCAAAGCTATTGGTCATAAATTAATGGAGAAAAAGACCATCAGAGGTCAATTACTCAATATTACGTGATGATGCTGCATTTCAGAAAACCACCTACTCTCCAAAGATCATCTGAGAAGTCACATTCAGGGATCTGGCTGGCACAAGCTGACTCAGCCACAGGGCAGAACTGTTGCAGCTCAACCTGTGATACTGATGTTGCTGCTGTCTCTAAACCTCCTTTTGGGGGTGGGTTTTTGTGGGAGCCAGAACCTCTTGTTTACTTGTTCTGCAAGTCTTGACACAGACCATACTGTGTCAGGGTTTGCTAGAGTGAAAGAAAAAAAAAAAAAAAAAGTGGACCTAACATCTGACACTAAAAGTTTGGCAAGGGGGCCCTACCTGAGCCAGCATAGGTATTTACATCCCCACTGAGGCTTTGCACTAAGTTATGGCGGTCTCTGTCTCTGCAGCATCTTCGCTTGACTTAGGCTGAGGACCAGCACAGGCACTTTCCAGATGAAGCCACCCCAAGATGCCTTCAGTCAATTTAACGACAAGTAAAAATGTAGCCTAATAATTTCCTGGATTTCTGAATTACTCTGTCTCAGTATTTCAATGTACCTCAAAAGTGTCCCAACCTTAGAGGTGTTGCAAACACATCATTTTTAAAGGAAAGCACAAATTTTCAGTTTGAAAAGGAAGAGAGTTAAAATTGTTTAACTATGAGCTTTTATGTGAACAACACTCTTGAAAAGCTCTGATATGACAACTGCAATCTGCCTAACATTTAACCCAAGAGACTGATTATCAAAGAACGGGTAAGAGCTAGATTGTAGATTAAAATACTACACAAAATATCAAATAGTACCTAAATCTGATAAAAGCAAAACAAAAATGTCAAAACACCACAGATGAAAATGGAATTCATAAATACATTGGGCCCATGCCTTCTGTAATTTATGATGATATCAGGAGAATTACTCTGACATCAAAAGACAAGTAATTCTTGTTGGGAGCAATCACATGATTGTTATAAACAAAAGACAGATTTGTGTATTTTCCTGGGCCTTGCAGTGCAACACAATGGCTTTAATCGAAGAGTCTAATGATTTTGGGCACTTTCTTGTTCTTGAGATGTTTGTCCTTTTTGTTTGTTTTCATGACTGTCTGCAGTTGCTCTACTCCTTTCACAGGCCATTTAGAGGACTTTCCCTAGTAGTATCCCCTAACTTTCTGGAGAATAGAAGAGGGGAGTCCAAGGCTACATTCACAGCATGCTCCTTTTGTGAGTACCTCCGCTGAAACAAATTTGACTGCTACCTCTATCCCTCTGTGGGAAAGCAGCCTCCTCCTCTTCAAAATAGGATCGCCTTTCATCTCTGCTG